AAGTTACTTGTAAGAGATAACTTATTTTCTGATAAAAAATCATTGTTGTGAACAAATGGGACCTTCTTCAAGTACGTTTAAAAAATTTCAGTTTTTCCTCTAATTGTTTATATTCTTTGAGCTTTTATTGATATTTGAACTATGGGTGCTTGAGTAAAGAAGACAGTTTGAAAAGTTAGTCTTAAAATGATCTCTTTGGTTAGCAGGAAAACTCAATAAGGAAATAAACGACGGACAGCAATGATATCAAATAATTGCCAAATAAAAAATACAATTATCCCATGGTAATTTTTACTAGTAAAAGACAGGCGTCAACAGATGATCATTTTATCTCTTCCACACTATTCTAGCTCTCCTTCAAAGATTTACAAAAGTGGACTGGTAAAAGAGTCGTCTGAAATAAGTATTCATTAAGTCCTTTAAAATTGTACAGTAACTTTTATAAGTCTGATCTAGCAATCTCAATATAACAACTGAGGAGAACTTCAATGCAGCTGATCAATATATAAATACTCAAAAATCCAAAAAGTAAAAAGATTGACACCTACACCCGTGACTCTATTCTGAAGAAAGGAGTGTCGCCAGGCAGTCAACTTCAACATTGTTGCATAGTTGAATTATGAAAGATACGGAGACTTTGATTGTTTGTCCTGCTCCCTACGATCCTCATGCCTGACTTTAATTGTGGAGGGTTCATCGTCCTCTTGGGACAACTGAAAACTATTCAGCTGGAGCATGAAGTTGAGCCCTTTCAGCGCAACCTACTACTATAGCAAGTTAGGTAAAAGCAAATTTGCAAGAAATAAGCGTCTATACGACTCAATTCAAGGCGAATTCATCACGATCTGTAGCTGTATTAAATATATAGAGATACAAAAAAATAGCCAAATATTTAGAGATCTATTATTCTGTTGTATATGGGATGGACTGAAACGCGCCATCCTTTCTTTGTTGGCAAGTCAATGTACAAGATAGACCAGAGATATTTTTAAGCTCGTCATAGGAACACAAATGGCTAATGTGAAAAGTACGTTTCTATAAGGAAATGCGCTTGGTATCAAGAGCTCTAATTTTTTTATTCATATTTTCTACTACTGCCCCTTTGACTCCATCGATTTTGTTGACGCTGAGACTTATCTTCTCCAAAACTGCTTCTTCTTTCAAATTTATTATCTCTGGGGAATCTGTCTTCTCTGGAAAAGCTTTTTCTTTCAAATCGATCTTCTTTGAAGCTGTTTCTTCTGTTAAATCCGTCGTCTCTCTTGTTGTAGTTTCTTCGGTCAAAGCTATCTTCTCTTCTGTTGAAGCTCTTTCTTTCAAAGTTACCTCCTCTGAAGTTATTTCTTCTCTGGAATCCACCATCTTCTCTACTGCTTCCAATGCCGATTTGTGCCAAGAATCTTTCACTGAGATGAGGCTTGTCTTGAACACCAAGAGCATCAAGTAAGTTATTTGCTTCATCCACGGCTATTCTACGGTTCATACCCATTGAGCTTAATCTGCCAGCATCTATAAGCAAATAAGTATTCTTGTATTCCCTGTCAAAATAAATAAAAACTTACAGTATCCTAAATATGCGGTATACATTTCTCTAACACTTTCATGATCCACGTAGCTCACCACTCTGGAAAGTTCGTTATTTAATCGTTCTTCTTCAACTTCATCCAATGCTGTATTCACTTGTTCAATAGGGAGATCTGATAATTCAGTCTTTAAGAACTTCTTTTCAAAGGGAGCCAAAAATATCAAACCCTCGCCATCCTTTCCGGCACGACCTGTACGTCCCAATCGATGAATATATTGCTCTCTTGTGGATGGTACACCGACTTGTACGACAAGAGATACACCAGGGTAATCGACACCACGAGCAGAGACATCCGAGGTAAACAAGATGGATCCCTTGGATGACTTACGGAATCTTTGAGCAATAGTTGATCGAGAGGACTGTGTCTTTTTAGAGTGCAATTCATACACATCGCGATCAGGTAAGAGCTTTTTGAAGATCTGGGCATACAGCATGGTGGCTTTAGTTGTAGGCAAAAACACAATCACCTTACCGCTTTGTGCTGATTCCTTGTTGTTAAGTGCGTCATGAATAAGGGCAAATTGCTTTTGATAGGGAGCCACGATGGCACCTTGCTTGACGTGCATATGTGTATGTACTTCGTTTTCACCCACGGTATCGATCAATTTGTAATCAGGGGACAAGGCAAAGTCACCGAGGTTCTTTCGAATTTCAGGAGAGATCGTGGCAGAAAAAAGCATGGTCTGACGCTTCTCGGGAATCTCTGTCAAGATGTTTTGTAATTCCTGCTTGAATCCCATATCCAATAGTTGATCGGCTTCATCCAGAACAAGTACTTTCAAGTTTTGACACATCTTTTTGAAGCGAGGAACGGATGATAGCATATCATAGAGACGACCGGGTGTGGCAACAATAATATCGGCTCGTTGACGTTCCAAGTTACTGATTTGTCTTCTTTTGCTTTCACCGCCTACAAGACAATGTACTTTGAAAGGATAAAAAGCAGTCAATTTGTTAGCTTCGTCCGCAATCTGGCTGGCAAGTTCACGAGTAGGTGAGATGATCAGAATTGATGCGCCATCAAAATGCTTCCACTGTGTTGGCTTTTGTCCTGCAACAGCCGTCTCTAAAGCAGCAATCAAGAAAGCGAGTGTCTTGCCTGTACCTGTCTTGGCCTTGACAAACATATCATCTTGGTTGGGGAGTCTAGATAATACAGCTTCTTGAACTGATGACATTTCTTGGTATTTAAATATTCTTTGAATAGCCTTTTGTGTGCTCAGTTGGAGTGTATCAATGCTATCGAATCGTTTCTTTTCTTCTATGGGTTCGATCGTTGTCTCTTCTTTTAATAGCTCGGTAGCGTTAGCCTTGTTTACGCTAACGGTATGCAATAGGGAATAAGGAATAGTTTTAAAGCCATGTACAGGTGTATGTTTGAATAAAGGTTGTGCTAGAGATCAGGATTAGCTTTTTGATCAGATCAGATCTCTCTTTTTTTTAATTCTTACCCAAGTTTGATCTAGATCTATTTACAAAAGAAGAAGGTAAGGTAGCCAAGTTACGTTGACTATAAAGTCTGATAGCTTGTGTCGTTAATCTAGAAAGCATGGTTATTGTAACTCTGAGTTTGCTATTGGATTAAAGAGAAAGAAATACAAAAAAAGTTTTCATTGTCACAAAAAAGAGATATAAGAGCATAAATAAAGAGGCTTATCGTCCTTTTTATGTATGAAAATATTTCCATTACAAAAAAACATCCTAGGATCCCTTTTATCTGTATAGATTATACATCAATGTTTCCTCCTTTTTTCCCTTGTATGCATGTATATGTGCATATGTGTGTGTGTACCTTTTTGATTTATGCTCACTAGCTTAATTTTATATATTTGAAATAAGCTTTTTTTTAAAAAAAAAAGTAGACAACACCAATCGGGAGACAGAGCCCCTCCCTGAAGCCGCATGTCCCCGACGGATATGAGTCAAAAAAGAGAGTTTAAACCAGTCCTTTATTCTATTATCCATGACGCTTTCGCTTACGATCATCAACCACTTCCATTGACTCCCAAAGATCTTCATCATCTTCTTCTTCCTCTGATGATTTTGGAAGAGGGTACACAAAGTCTTGATCTACCAATAAGCACGTCAGTCTCTGCTTCAGATAGTTCTTTTCTACAATGTTGCGGTATACAGTCGATGTTTCATGGATTCGTAAGAATCTATCTAAAGATGTGCTTATCACAAATTGTTCCTTTGAGTTGTTATTCTCCTCTTCAAATTCTGGCTGAGGAGCCGTTGCTAGTGCAGTACAGGCACCGGTAAATCCCTTGTATTGAGCAGCACGTTTGCCTGTGCGAATATCAATAGTGCCTACAGTTCCCATTGTATCCGCAAACAGAACATGGTTAAAGTCCTTTCCGACAGATAACACCTTGATTGGATGCTTGCCGATCTCTGCATTGATGACTGGTCGTCTGCCGGCCTTTGTATCGTATAAGCGGAACTAAATAAAGTCATTAGTCAGATTGCTTGGTTTTAAATGAAAGAAAGCTTTACTTGGTGATAATGTGTTGAAACAACAATCTTGGTAGCTTCTTTGTTCATAAACTGAAGATCATGAATCCATACAGGCTGTTGAAGGTCTAAAAAGTCATTTTTAACCTAAGAGAAATATGAGAGCAGGTCTTTATGATAATGCAGGCAGACGTACGTTCTTGGCTTGGAAAATCAATCCTGTATTCTTTGTAGACTTCTTTTTGTGAGTAGAGGTATTCTTTTGTGGTCCTGCAGTATCTGTCACTTCAAACTCCTTGTCTTTCAGCAGTTCCTCAATGTTGTAAACACGCAAGTCTTGATCCTTGCCTCCTATAGCAAATATGTGTGTCTGCACCGGATGATTGCGCATAATTTCCAGGTTGGATCCCAAATTGGTTATTGTACAAGTTTCTTTAGCATCTAAAGGTGTATATGATAAATCGCCTGTTGAAGTACAGACGCACAAATGGCTATATCATATTAGTGACAAAATCAAGAATGGGGAGTATCAAGACTTACTTGTTATGCACAAATAGACCAACAAAGTAACCTTGTTTTTCTTCAGTGCCAACATGTTTGTTTTTTAATTCTTTTACGATCAAGCCATCTTCTGGTGACATGAACTGGATCGTACCGTTTTTGCGTGCAACCAGTAACTAGATCAATGTAAGTTTGAAAGATCCATGTCTGTTTTAAGAGGCTTACAAGTTTTTTATCGTCAAGAGTGGCCCAAGCTAGTTTCTGAACTGCTTGTGTTTTGTCTACTTTACCAAAGACGCCTGTGAGCGGCTGTAGTGCTGGTGTTTCCTCTTTCTTTTCGTCTCCTCCTTCGCTCTTTTTGGCTTTCTTTGGACGTCTTTCTTTTATTTTTGGTGGAAAAGAAATCCCTAAAGGAAAAATGAGTGAAGTTGATTTAACAATGACGTCCTGATTCTTACACTTTATTAAACCACTTTCATCGCCTGTAAAGTACTTCATTATACAAAGAAAAAAAGAAAGGGTTCAAATTCCCATTTTTGGATCAGTATGAAAATCTGTCACAGACTAAACTCAGCCACTGGCTATCCGGTCATGGAAGCTTTTCTTTTGTAATTCGCCATGGCAAAGGGAAAACAAACAGCTGGAAATAAGACAAAAGGTTCTTCTGGTAAATGAGGACTAATGAGTGTTTTATTGCTCAGAATAACTGAATATATGAATCGCGTAGATTCCAAAAAGGAAGGCAAAGACTCCAAGAAAGACGGCAAGTTAAAGCCCGCAAACAGTATCAAGGTTTGTATAAAGGATATATATATATATATATATATATATAAACTAAACAAGGAAATGAACTTATTGCTGTCCTATAGGTTAGACATATCTTATGTGAAAAACATAGCAAGGTATTCATCCAAGGAAATGCCCTTTATTTGTTTATATATAAATATTTACTCTTTTATGAAGGCAATGGAAGCTTTAGCTAAAATAAAGGAAGAAAACATGAGATTTGACAAGGTAAATGCATTGTTAGCATATTCTCTCTTTAACATGTATTCAGGTTGCTGAAATGTACAGTGAGGATAAAGCAAAAGCTGGAGGTTCTTTAGGTTGGATGAACAGAGGCTCCATGGTTGGTGCCTTTCAAGATGCAGGTAAGTTAATATAGATGATTATCATGCTTGTTTTCATCTCTCCTTATGCAATCCTATTAGCCTTTGCATTACAGCCTAGCACATGTGGTAAGTTAGATTCTACCACCGTGTTTTAGAAATATTGATCCATGTTGTATAGATAACCCTATTTTGACTGATCCACCTGTAAGTCTAGAAACTTGATTATTCTCAATTACTGACTACTGTCATTAATACATATAGATTAAGACACAATTTGGATATCATATTATCATGGTGGTAAGTGACTATATAAAGTATTTTATTATCCACTCCTGAAACGATTTGTTACTTTAGGAGGACAGAAAATAAGACAAGTCAATAGGCACTTGATATCTTAAGATGCCTTTTTTTTTAATAAAACCTGTTGAAGGCATACAATGGCTTAAGAAGTGATATAAATAGAGCAGTTTTACAGATGTAATAGCAATTATAGGTCAAATAAGAGAAAGGGCTGTCCTTTAGTTCCTGATGTAATGTAAGAGCAATAGACTAAAAACTCAAAAAAAGATCCTATCCTGAGAGGTAGATTAAAGCAACTAGTTGTGTCACTTTATACAAGAATATATCAACATCACGACATTACGAAGGGTAGCTGTTAATTTGCTTGGAGCAGAGTTGGAGAGAGTACTTTAAAGCAAATGGTATTTTCCAAAGTCAGCTTTGAGTCCTTTGCGACAGGGTCTTTACTGATATGACATCTTTATCTCTAAGAATGTATTCAATCATATGCTGTTTGATATCGCTGCTGATTCCCATATGATATGTCATGACCTTGCTGACGCATTCAGAGCTAAACCTTCCAAGTGCGTTTTCTTCAAACATGCGCCTTTAAAAGCTTCTGCTCGTAATAATGAGCTCTCCCTTGTCTTAATCCATAATAATAGTCAAGTAACGTGGAGGCTCATGGATATACGTCTGCTATATTTCTTGTTTGTTATTGGGTTTATATCACAATGACGTTTGGTTTAAAGCTATCTTGACAACTTCGGCTTAATAAGTGGCGCCAAGTTCTACAAGATCTTTGTCCATATTCTCAGCTCACAAAAAACCAAGCCTAATTATATCATTTCCGATCAGTCACTATGATTACGATTTAAATACGATTTAAAGGCATTATTAATGATATCCTTGTACTATATTTGTATAGATTGATTAAACCCATAAAAAATCCACTGACAGCATTTACTTTCAAGTTAAAAAGGACTGTAAACGAGTTTACGGCCTGTATTTATGTCAAAAGATGACAGCTGCAACTGTCTGACAATGAATAAAAGAATAAATAAATTTCCTTATACGTCCCTTATTCTCGGACTAAGAGGGTCTGTCGGAACCCAGTTGATTTCTTCTGATTAACACTTGCTATTTTTCGTTGACTAAAATATTGAATCAAGGTTCAATTGTTCTAGGAGAGTCACGTTCGTATATCATATTCATGTCCCGATCTAAGAGTAAAATTATATTCTTCGATTGAACGATAGCACAAGCCTGTCAAGTTAATTTCATGGTCATTGAGTACTTCTAGCATGGCTGAGAGTGCTCAAGAAAGATTTTTAAGGTGGACTTTAAAGCGTTTCGGGGAATCTTGCGTTCATATCGTTGTTGTACTAATTCAACAGCTACAAGCTAAATATGTAGAATCTGCACCTCTTACATTAAGTTAATAAGCTTGCAAGCCTGTTCTAATGCACACTTTTTTCGCTTTATGTCCCTGTTCAGTTTCATAGACTGGATATCACCCTCAATTTCATCAATTAGGTCTTCCGATTGGCGTATATTCATTGTTTAAAAGCAAATATGAGATTCTACAAAGTTTTTTATTTGTTAATGTGTGTTCTGTCATTTGAGGAGATTATTTGTTCTCTTTTCAATCTCAGACTGCCTTTTTTTTCCAACCAACTGAAAAATTCTGTAATTTGTGGCCCAGATTCCCATCAACAAAAAGAATCACACACGTGTAAAGGGAGACACATCTGAGCTGCACGTGTCCATGGTTACTATTTAAATTGTGTTCTTTACCCATTTCTTTCTTCTTTTCAACACCGTAACCATGCAACCCAAAGAACATAAGCATCACAAATCAATGCCTTCACTTTCTTCATCTATTTCCAGTAATGAAATTAGTATTCAATCATCACCTCGCACCTCAATGTCATGTAATAGAATGTCAGACCAAGTAAGAATAAAGCGATGGGACGACTCACCATTCGAAATGGAGCTTGCAGAAGATGATTTTATTAAGCCAAATACAAATTCACATAAATTCTCGGAAACACTTCGAGATAAATTTCGTCACATTCGAAGAGAAGAATACCGCCGTCATAAATTCTTTAAAAAGTTATACCACTGGTTTATGTAATCGAATAGAACCCATATGCATACCCTTTCTCTGTAAATAGTCATGTTCTCCTTATTTATCCTCCCCATTATTTATGTTATGAATAAATACACCTTATTTTGTCATGTATTAAGCATTAAAAAAAAACTGACAGGAGACCTTTTTTTTATGTAATGTTACTCAAACTAATTTGTTCCTAGACTTATTTATTCTCCACTCTGCAATAATTAATCGGCTCATAAACCTTAATGAATAAACAGCCTGTCTGGATGCATAACCTCCCGTTTTGTGCATGGATACATGTTTCTGTTTTGAGGGCCTTTGCGTCTCAATTTTAAAAAATCCAGATTTTTCCATAAATGGAACCCCTTATTTCACGGTCCATTGGTGGCTTAGAGCTAGAAAATACATATTTATAAAAATATGCAAGATATGCTAAAGGGTTCAACAAGGAACTAGACGATGCCTTATAAGCATTACTAAAAGATTTCATAAATATGAGCAAGGACTCGTGTCTTGAACTGATATTTTATTCGGGTTAAATATAATCAACTACCATTTTAATACAAGTCCGCATTAATATCGCGATCCCAGATCTGTTCATAAATGTGAATACTTTTTTTTACCCGGCAAAAACCAAAGTTTCTCATTTTGCCTTGGTACTATTTGAACAGGCTAATTATACCTTCAAAAAGATACATCAAGGCTGTGAGTGTTCATATTAGGTATTTTTTTTTAAAAAAAAAAAGCAGCCATAATCGCACAACTACCTTGAGTTTTTAAAACAGAGTGGTGTTCTGCATACAATGGTTACGAGTCGTCATTTCCCATGTTGGCTTCCTTTTTTACTATTGCCATTGAAAGAAAATGAATATAACTTACCTATGGTTGTATATGCAATTTCATTCGAACAAAATAATGGAGGTGCAATGTTCATTGATAAGGATGGCAAGAATGTCCCTTCTATGTAATATGTATTAAGGGACTATCCTCTTCAAGTTAGACGTCGGTTTCCTTTACTGGAATAGTTATTCTACTCTTCATTGTAAATGTAGACACATTATTATACGCCATCCCACGGCCCGTATGTTGCTATTGTTCTCTCTTATTTCACCTCCTTCGCCATTCTTTTGCATTTGAACCTTTTTCAAATTTTTCTTTGTCTTGTTCTCATAGATTTATATACAAACTTGTAAAGCTCAGTAAAAGTTGTTTGGCCACTGGTAACATTGGTAATATCGCCCAAGAACATAATTCTGTTTGCACAAAGATACCTCTTTGTTTCTATATGAAAGCACCCATTCATAAAGATACAGAAGAATGGCTTGTTGACGCATCTATAATAAAATAGAGTAGTATTATTTCTTACTCATAATGAGCCTTAGAGATAGCGACGGTGTATCGAGTTATTCGTAGAAAATCCGAGCTTTTACACAAGAGTAAAGAAGTTGATTTTATCAATAAACTAATAGTCAATGATGACCTTCATTTTTTTTTGGTTTATGCTGGCTAATTACTGTTTTATTAAAAATAAATTTCAGAAAGAGGATAAAATTATGACGTGTATGAAAAAAATAATTGGCGCATATTAAAAAAAGTATTTACGCAAAGGTTAAAAATAAAATACGTGCGAAGGAGACGACATACAAATGAGAGTAATAAGTACCAAGGAGAGAATATAAAGAATTATACAGTTAGTTATGTAAGAAAATCATTATATATAACTTACCCCGAAGGCATCTAGATGTGTCCTAGCGATAACTAGGACGGGGAATCATCGTCTAAACGTATTCTAGTTCTTGGTTGCTCCTGATCGCCCACTCTTCTTCGACGTCTTGTAGGAGCAACAGCAACCCGGCGAAACCCATGAGGAACCATGCCATTACGTCGAAGCTTACGAAGGATGTGCATGTAGTTGAGACAAGCAGCAACATCCCTGTTCCATAAGCGATATCTATCTGGAGCTGCCATGGCGGGTCTACAGTATAGATTGGTACATCTACAAGCAATGCTCAATCAGTATAAAGTCATACAAGTGGTTCATGTACTATTACCTTAAAAGGCCATGGCAGACAACAGTAGGATATCGCTCACGTTGATACGGTCGTGGATTTGGAACACGACGGAACGTGTGGAGGCTCTCGTTGTGGCATGTTGGACAGTACCTACTGGTCTTGTACTCGTCTATAAGATAGACTTGTAACCCATGTTCCTTGGGGAGTCTTCAGAAACCAAGGCCACGGATGGGCTCATGGTACCTAGCATGGGGAGCGGACCAGTTTCCCATCACAAACACGGCGTCTTCTCCAAACTTGGTGCGTAAGTCTTGAATAAGCTTTTGATCGGCACGCTGTTTGTTGAAGTACGCTGAAAGACGGATCTTGCGAAAGAGGGGGTATCCATTATCATGGTTTGTGATGGTATGTCCATAGAATCGACTGAGAACGGCAGACTGTTCAGATCTGGCTTGAAGGAAGCGGCCAAAGTCTTCTACGGATACGGTGCTGCTTGGCTGTTGAGAAAGGGCTTGCTCAGCTTGAACGACATCAGGATCCTGGGCCTTGAGATCTTGCAAGATTCGACGGTACTTTTTGGTTTTCCACGTCTTGTCTTGCTGTTTTTTAGTGTACCGAAATTTTACTAGTTGCTCTGGTGTAGAGTTTTCGTATACACAACGCAATATATCCCTTCTTCCAGAATTCACAGCGGCACATCGACCAGAAATCCTTTGATGATTTTGATGAGTTAGATCGGTAGTGTAGGAGGTAGCTTCATACTCCACTGTGAACCTTGCCGTGTATCTTGTTTGCCTATCAAACCTCTTCTTGAAGACCATGACACCAACGCCATCAGTTTGAATAGTGCCACGGAATCTAAGTTGTCCACCTTCTTGCGGCTTGAGGGCTTTTGAGTCAAGGTTGACAACTCGGCGCCAGTAGTCCAGTTTATCGACAGCATTAGACCATCGAATTCCCAGGATGTTTTGGCAGAGAATCTTGCTGTCGATGGTAACGTAACAAGGAGACCATGAGCGCCGGAGAGGAAAGCAATTGAAGACGGGCA